TATATATATTTATACGCTTTACCAGCTTGGTTCTCTAGAGAACACAGCCTAAGACAAGGACTAAGATGTGCCTGACTCAAGCCAAGGTATTTTCAATCACCTCATATGCACATGAAAGCTAGACAATGAATAAGGAAGAGTGAAGAATTGATGCATTTGAATTATGGTGTTGGCGAAGAATATTGAATATACTATGGACTGCCAGAAGAACGAACCAATCGGTCTTGGAAGAAGTGCAACCAGAATGCTCCTTAGAAGCAAGGATGGCAAGACTTCGTCTCACGTACTTTGGACGTGTTATCAGGAGGGACCAGTCCCTGGTGAACGACATCATGTTTGGTAAAGTAGAGGATCAGCGAAAAAGAGGAAGACCCTCAATGAGATGGATTGACACGGTGGCTGCAACAATGGGCTCAAACATAGAAATGATTGTGAGGATGGCGCAGGGCAGAGCAACGTTTTGTTCTGTTGTACACAGGGTCGCTATGAGTCAGAACCAACTTGACGGCACCAACAACACTCCTAATCACCACTTCCCCCCTTCAAAAAGGAAAAAAAAAACAGTTGCTTTGGAATCGATTCCAACTTGTGGTGACTCCGTGTGTGTCAGAGTAGAACTGTGCTCCATAGGGTTTTCAGTGGCTGGTTTTTCAGAAGTAGGTCACTAGGTCTTTCTTCTGAGGCACCTCTGGGTGGACTCTCATCTCCAACCTTTTGGTTAGCAGCCGAGGGCTTAACTGTTTGCACCACCCAGGGACTCCTCAAGCCTCCCCATTAGTGTTGAAAACCAACAGTACAGCAGCCACTAGAGGTTGCAGAACAGGTTGGAGCTCCTTCTCAGTACCATTCCTGAGAATTGTCATTGTCTGACCTGTCTGGTGGTTCCCGGGAAGACCCCACTTGCAAGACCATCTGTATTTGACCCGACTCTGAGCTCACCCGTGCAAACAGTGTTTTCCCCAAGGGCATTTGTCAAGAACAATCAGCAGCAATTGTTTAACATCCGGCTGTCTCAGGCAGTAGATAACAGTTGGGGCAAACATAAAGCTAAACAACAAGCTTAAAAGGGAAAGCTGGAGTATGGAGTGCCCATAGGGGGCTTTGAAAAGGACAATATTTTCCTTTTGTGTCTAACTTTTTCACTTGGCATCATCACCCATGTCATAGCATGTATCAGAACTTTACTGGGGTTGCCATGAGTTGAATTGACTCAAGGGTAAGAGTATCAGAACTTCATTTCTCTTTATGGCTGAGTAATATTCCATTGTATGGATATACCATATTTTGTTTACCCGTTCATCTGTTGATGGGCACTTGAGTTGTTTCCACATTTTAGCTATTGTGAATAATGCTGCAATAATCATTGGAGTACAAGTATCTGTTTGAGTTCCTGCTTTCAATTCTTTTGTGTATGTACCTAGGAGAGGAATTTCTGGGTCATATGATAATTTTACTTTTGAGGAACTTCCAAAGTATTTTCCACAGTGACTACATTATTTTACAATCCCACCAGCAGTAGATGAGTGTGCTAATCTCTCCATATCCTCGCCAATACTTGTTATTTTCCATTTCTCTGACAATATCCATCCTGTTGCTGTTAGTTGCTGTGGAGTAGATTCTGAGTCATGAGACCTCATCCTAGTGGGTGTGAAGTAGTGTCTCATTGTGGTTTTGATTTGCATTTCCCTAATGAGTAATGATGCTGAGCATCTTTTCATGTGCTTATTGGCCATTTGTATATCTTCCTTGTGTCCTCTCTTGTTAAGTTGCCCTTGATGCTGTGTGTACACAGATACTACCTGGGCAAAAGGGAAGGGGCAAGGATGGAAGGGGCTCACCATGGGGTCTGCCCATCTGAACAGGACCCTGCACTCTTCCTGAGTGACACTGGCAGATGCTATGCTTGATTTGTCCTGAATGTTGGCGCTGGACATGTCCAAGCTGAGGCCTGGGTCTGACATGGCCCCTCCCCTGCTAAAGCCATCAGTGACCATGGAAGGGTTGGTGGTCTCCGGTGGGCAGCCATGTGGCCCTGGAGCTGATGCCTCTCCTAGGTCAAGGACGGAAGACACTGGCCTTTCTCGTGTGCCAAGTCTAAGAAAGGAGATGTGGTTGCCCATCAGTCTTCAAGCTCTGAGTTTAGCCAAGTCTGAGAGCAGCTGGACATTGATAATCTCATATTGCTCAACCTATAGCTGTAAAGGAGCCCTGGTTGCTCAGTGGTTAAGCACTTGGCTGCTAACCAAAAGGTTGGTGGTTTGACCCTACGCAGCTCTGAGGAAGGAAGATGTGGCAGTCTGCTTCTGTAAAGATTTATAGCCTTGGAAACCCTATGGGATATTTCTACTTTGTCCTATAGGGTTGCTATGAGTCAGAATTGACTCGATGGCAATGAGTTTGGTGGGTTATTTTTAGAAAAGCTATGGCTTCCAGATGCCCCAAGTGGGAATTCCACCCCATGGGCTCCCCGCTTCCCTGGCCCTGTGTCAGGACATTTAATGGGGGAAGGTAGGGAAGCAGAAATATTGTACCTGCAAACATTTAACCTACCTCTGTGTGTGTGAAGGAGTCCCTGGGTGGCACAAATGATTAAGCATTTGACTACTAACTAAAAGGTCGGCAGTTCAAACTCACTCAGAGACACCTCAGAAGAAAGGCCAGGCAATCTGCATTCAAAAGGTCCCAGCCATTGAAAACCCTATGGAGCACAGTTCTACTCTACACACGAGTTGGTCATGAGTCAGAATCGACATGACAGCAACTGGTTTATGTTGTGTGCGTGTGTGTGTGTGTGTGTGTGTGTGTGTGTGTGTGTGTGAACTAAGACAGTTTCTACCCAAGCACCTAGCATCAGTAGCAGTTCTCCAGAACGGACCTGGTGTTTATCTGGCGGGGGGTTGACAACCCAAACGATACCTGCGCAAGAGTAGCCACAGCAACCGAGAACCACCTGATAGCTGTGCCCTGGCCAGGCTCTCCATGTGCCTTTATCTCACGGCCCTCCACTCCAAAGGCTTTTAACTCAGGGACTGTGAGTCATCAGGGAGGCAGCTGACCATGAAATGCAGTTGAACGCAGTCAATTCTTTCCAGAGGGTTTTCAATGACAACTGAAATTGGCCCTTAAAGAAAGGAACAGAAATGTTCCTGTGTCCAGAGGGAGACGCATGGAGACATACGACATAGCACCAGCCATTTTGAAGCAGTGACTCAAGAGAAGCTATAGCTAATCATCTAACAAATAGAAGAGGTTTGCATTCTGCTTTAAAATAGCACCGGATGCTGGAAAGAGAAAAGAGTAGCATCAATTCTGACATCACCACTGGCAGCCAGACACCCCAGGTACCTCGGTTCAAAAGGAAAGCGATTTAAATATAGACACTCAAAGAGAAGGCTGTTTACCTCGCGGAACACTTACCGCTGCTAAACCAGGGCCAGCCTCAGGGCTCACTTCCTTCCACAGCCACAGGACAGGGAGCAGCCTGACACTGATGGAAGGGGGAGGTAGGAGGCCACACAGTTAAGTAGCAGTTCCATGAGTTAAGTCAGATACAAGGAAGACTTCGGCAGATGCCTTTTCCAGAAGAAACTAAGCATCAACTCCTTATAATAGTTTAAATGTGGCCTAAAGGTGGAGAAATGAATTAATGGACTAGATGCTCTCTGAACTAGAGGCAGGGATGTTTTTTCAATTGAGAATCACTCAACCACCGGAAGGAGAAATCAGTGAAGGGCCTACACAAACAAAAAGCAACATAAATTTAGTTTTTGTTTTTGTTTTTTTTAAGGAGAGAAACAAATAAAAGAATCCATTCATCTACTTTCTAAGGCATGAGTAAAGAATATAAAATTCTAGTCAATAAATGATAAGACTATACTTGAATTTTATAATATGTCTAGCTGTGAGAGACACTAGAGAAATGGAGAGACTAGAGACTAGAAAAATGGAAGAGAAATAGTGCCTGAAATTATATTTCAAGTCAGCAAGAATTTTTGTTTTGAGCCTTTCCCCTGTCTTTGCCCCCTGTATCACATCAAATCCAGATATTTTGGTCCTATTGTTTGCAGATCTTCTTCCGCTTTTATGACACTTACGAGGTAGGCACAGCAGCTCACTGGGGGAGGGTCTTGTCCAGGCTTCACCTATGACCACAGCATTGAGAGCCCGATGAAATGACATGATGTTCACATCCAGCCCTCAGGTGAATATTCTCCACCCTGTCCCCAACTCCAATCCAGATGGCCCTCAAAAAGCCCCCTTTAAGAGGCCTGGAGCAGGCTGAGCATCAGCATCACTTGGAATGCTTTTGAAAAGCGCTAATCCCCAGGTTGCACCCAATAAATCAGGGGGTGGGCCTGGATTCTGATCAAAAGCAAACCAAAAAACAGCTCTAGGCTTTGGGTTAACTCAGGGCTTCCCAGCCTCAGCACTGTGACATTTTGGACCAATCATTCATTCCTTGTTGGGGGGCTTTTCCTGTGCAATGTAGGATGCTTAGCAGCATACTTTTACCCACCAGATGCCTGTAGCACCCTCTCCCCCTCATTGGCCCAGTTGTGACAACCAAAAATGTCTTCAGACATTGCCCAATGTCCCCAGGGGGCAGAATCCGTCCCAGCTGAAAACCCCCGTTTGGCCCTTTGTTGACCACGGACCCTGTACCCGGTGACAAACGACTTGAGCCCTGAGCCTTGGTTGTTCCATCTGCCTAATGGGGCTCTGCCCACAGCACTGTCTGCCCTGTGACTCAGTCAGCCTTAGCTTCCTGAGGAACATCCAGCCTCATATGAAACCCCGTTCTTCCACTGAAATTTTGTTCTGAGGGTCAGAGAAAGATGTTTGCTTCAGTCCAGCTTCAGGGTTTGGGGAAGAGGGGGGCCAGCCAGAGTACCCCTTCCCTGCCCCCATGGGGTGTGGCACCCACCCTCCCTCGGCTGAGCCTCTGTCCTGGTTACACGTCCCTTTCTCTCCCACTCACGGGCTGTCTCCCTCCTTTGCAGAGAAAAACTGTTCCTACTTCAGGCATTTCAACCCCGGTGAGAGCTCGGAGATCTTCCAAGTCACCACTCAGAAAGGTGAGCCCTCAGTGGAAGGGGGAGGGTGGTGAGAAGTGACTTCCTTCACATGCTGTTGAGCCAGAAAATCATTCGGCACCAAAGCCCTGGCTTCCCTGCTCCTGATGGAACCAGCCTGTCCTGATGCTTTTGATCAGTGGACCTCCTCACCCTGGAGGGCCGGCTCCAGCCCCAGGCCTCTGGAGTGGCCAGGCATCAGGTCTTCTTGGGAGTTTGCAAAAGAGAAGTTTCCTGGTAGGGTCCTAAATTGCAGCAGGAATCAGCTTCCACCAGAGCCCAAGGGGAGCCGTTGTGACAGCATTACGGAAATGGAACTAGCCCTCTGATCCTGGGGATGGCTTTCAGGATGGCAGAGTCGGAGTCTGTGGGGACCCAGGGCCTGATGCCTGCCCTCGCGTGTAAATCAGCCTCGGGATGCAAGGGGGACAGTGGGGATGGGTGTGGGTCCCCCAGCCTACCTTGTGCTCTGGGGGTCTTTAGTGATCAGTGCAGCTCAGATACGTGCCCGTTGCCATGAATACAGACCTGTGCCTGCATGTGTGTGTATGGCTGCCCATGGTGCACACTAACATACTCACACACACACATATTCATACACACACTCAAATACTCATGCTAACAAATCCTTACACACACAGCACATACACTCATACACTCACACGCACACTCATATACACACTCATATGCTAACAAATCCTTACATGCACAGCACACACTCACACACACACTCTGACAAATCTATACATGTGTGGCACACACACTAACACACATATACACACACTCTGGCAGATCCTTACACACACGGCATACACACTCACGCAAACGCAAACATTCTGACAAAGCTTTACACGCACAGCATTGGCATGCACACACTCAGAAATCATTATACACGTGACACACAAACACACTCTCTCTGACAAATCCTTACACGTGTGTTACACACATTCACCCTCCCACACACACTCTGACAAATCTTTACATGCCCATGCTTAGTAGCAGGCCACACTCTGGCTTCCTTCCAGAGACCACTTGTCAGTCCCACAACAGGCCACCCACTGCCCAGGAGCCTCCTCTGCCCGACACTGAGAGGAAGGTTTCTGCTCTAGAAAAGTCTCCAGCCACATGCCTCCCACCTCCTTCCAAGGCCTCTGCCTCTGGTGGGAGGTACTTGGGGTGCAGTGCCCTTGAAAGACATGGGAAGTGGGATGAGGCACACGGTGCCGTCCTGGCTCACCCCTTAGGTGCTGTGTGACTTCAAGGAAGTTGCTGAATCTCCCAGACCCTCAGTTTTCACACGTGTGAAATGGAAGTAATAGCCATGGGTACGTGGCTTTGTCACTAGCCTGGCTGGAGGTACAGCCAGGCCAGACAAATGCCCCTCTGTGTTTGCAGAGTACAGCATCTCGGCGGCCGCCATCGCCATCTTCAGCCTTGGCTTCGCCATCATCGGCACCATCTTCCTCCTCCTGTCCTTCCGGAAGAAGAGGGATTACCTGCTGAGACCAGCATCCATGTTCTACGCCTTTGCAGGTAGAACGGGGGCTCCTGCCCATGTGCCCTGATTTGGCGTCAATGTCACGGGGGGTGGGGTTCCAGCAGCCCCTTCTCACACCTACCTCAGGAGTTTGGTGTGGAGCAATTCCCAGGCTCCAGCCAGGAGCAGAGCTTGGTCAAAACCTCGACAACTCTAGGTGGGCTGGGAGGCAGATCTTGGAAGTTCATGCACTTCTCACAATGACTTCATCCTCCAAGCACAGAATCAACTTCGCAGAGAATAATCAAGAAAGACCAGGGCCTCAGACAAGTACATGTACACACATGTTGACGGCAGCACTAGTCGCGATAGTCAACCAGTGGGAAATGCCCAAATGTCCATCAGTAGGATGGCACGTCAATACAATGGACTATTACTCAGCCACAAAAGGAATGAAGTACTGATGCATCACTGTAATGTAATGATGTAAAAGTACTACAACATGGACGCACCTCGAAGACACTACACAAAGTGAAAGAAGTCAAACACGAAAGGCCATATATTGTACGATTCCATTATATGAAATGTCCAGAAAAGGTAAATTTACAGTGACAGAAAGCAGATTGGTTGTTACCAGGGTTAGGGAGCGGGGGGGGAATGGGGAATAACTGCTTAACAGACACAGGATTTCCTTCCGGGGCATGAAAACGTTTTGGAACCAGATAGAGGTGGTGGTGGCACAACCTTGTGGAATTGTTCACTTTAAAATGGGTACATTTACATTCTGTGAATTTCACCTCAATAAAAACAATTCTTAAGTTATGAAGGGAGGGAGAGAGAGAGAGAAAGAAGGAAGGAAGGAAGGGAGGGAGGGAGAAGGGAGGAAGGAAGGAATGGGGGAAGGAAAGAGGTCTACGTTAACCTTACAAGGGATGAGTGAACTGTGTGGTGAATAGGCAGATGGGTCTCTTTTGCGGGTTCCTACTTAGCATCTCAGTCTTGAGGGAGTTTTTCCCCCAAGGAGAGTACCCACCTTCTCTGCATGTAGAAATGGTAAGTGCAGGGCGGGGCAGGGTTAGGGGCAGGAGTTCCCACTGTCCCTGAGTGCCTCCTGCTCTGTCCCCAGGTCTCTGCATCTTCGTCTCGGTGGAGGTCATGCGGCAGTCCGTGAAACGCATGATTGACAGCGAGGACACCGTCTGGATCGAGTACTATTACTCCTGGTCCTTCGCCTGCGCCTGCACTGCCTTTGTCCTCCTCTTCCTCGGTGGCCTCACACTCCTGCTCTTCTCCCTGCCTCCAATGCCCCGGAACCCGTGGGAGTCCTGCATGGATGCCGAGCCCGAGCATTAGCCCCCCTGGGACCCTAGCGACCCTTGGGGCTTTCCCCTCAGAAGCCGAGCCCCTTGCCCAGAAAGTTCTAGAGAGGAGGCAAGAGTCGTGCTTCTCCCTCTTCCCATCCGCCCCGACGGCCACAGGCTGCTTCCCTTCTCCCAGCACTTCTCTGGGCTGTGGTGGGCTCCTCTGGGGATAGAGCACGTGGACTCTGCATCCAGATCTGCCCTAGTCAGAAGGAGGCAGGACAGGCAGGCGGACAGCCGTTTGGAGAGGCCTGACCTTCCTTCCAGTGGGCCCCTGTGCGGTGTAAACAGTGAAGCACTTGACTACTAACTGAAAGGTTGATGGTTTGAACTCACCCAAAGGTGCTTTGGAAGAAAGGACTGGTGATCTGCTTCCAGAAGTTCCCAGCCTTGAAAACTCCATGGAGCACAGTTCTACTCTGACACACGCATGGGGTCGCATGAGTTGGAATCAACTGGATGGCAATTTGTTGGTTGGACCTTCCACTGGAGCTCGAAGTTGTCCCAGCAGTGCCAGTTGTCCTTGATGAGCTGGCTCCAGTTGTCCTCTGCAAACCTCCCAGGGGACCCTGTGCTCGTTGACCAGCTCTGGTTGTTCCCCTGTGTGAATAGCCAGCCCGTCTCTCCTTCTCTGTGACAAGATACACTCTCTCGCATCTCCTCCTTGGCTTCCAGAAGCCCTGAGAAGCATGTTTAACTGGGAGAAAATCTGACTGTGGTTTGAAATAAAAGCTCTCAGAAAACTTGCTTCTTTCTTGTATCTAGAAATTACTTGGACTCCAGGCCACAGCCCAGGGGCCCCAGGACCCTGGAGGAGAGAAAAGCATGTCCTTAGAGTACACTGAGGACTTTTGTGGGGAGGGAGTGGGGATGATGGACAGAAGAGGGTCCAGTTTACTAACATGGCTCAGATGTTCAAAATTCCAACTTGCATATCTGGGCCCTGGAATTCTCTTTGGGAGAAAGTGGAAACCCACAGACTAGGCAAGCGCGTTAAAAATACAGAGGGGTTATTTCTCAAGCACCGCCTCACCAAGGAAGGGTCCAAGTGCTAACACAGCTCCATGGCAGCACAGCCACAAGTTTCGGGTGTCCGAGGCTGGATTTTTGTTGCAAAGAAGCAGGGCTTAGCAGTTAGACACACAAGAACACACGGAGTGTCTTAATTTATATTTTTCCACCTTCTAGAACCCCACAGCACTCACCTAGCCCTCTGTCAGGATCCACATACTCCTTGCCTTGAATGCCAGAGACTCCATTTAGGCTCATTCTTCTAGAGTAGGGTCAGCAAACTATGCCCCAGGGGCCAAATCCAGCTGGCTGCCTGCTGTTGTATGGCCCACAAGTTAAGAATGGTTTTTACATTATTTTTTATATTTTAGAATTTTTATTGAGATGTAGTTTTTAGTTGTTGTTAACTGCCATTGAGTTAGCCCCCAACTCAAGGCAACCCTATGCAGAACGGAGTGAAACCCTACCCGGTCCTGCTTCATCCCCGTGATCGGGGGCAGATGGGACCGTTGTGATCCATACGGTTTTCACTGACTGATATTCAGAAGTAGATCACCAGGCCTTTCTTTCTAGTCCATCTCAGTCTGGAAGTGCTGATGAAACCTATTCAGCCTGATAGCAACACACAAGCCTCCACTGACAGACAGGTGCATTGGCCAGGAATCAAACTCAGGTCTCCCACATGAAAGGTGAGAATTCTACCACTGAACTACCTCTGCCCCTGAGATATAATTTATGTATAGTGAAATACGTAGATCTTAAGAGTACAGATCAATGAATTTTGGCAAAAGTATACACCCGTGTAATCCATGCTATTATCAAAACATAAAGCATTTCCATCATTCCAGAAAGTTCCCTTGTGTCTCTTCCCAGTTAATCCCTGTGCCCCATCCCCAGAGGCAATCACTGTTCTGATTTCTAACACCTTTACATTTCTTAATGGTTTAAAAAAATCCAAAGAAGAATGATACTTCATGACCCGTGAAAAGGATATGAAATTTAAAGTTTGGTGTCTATATATACAATTTGATTGGAACACAGCCACCTCCACCCTATGGCTGTTTTGTGCTATGATGGCAGCATAAAGCAATTACAACAGAGACCATCTGGCCAGCGAAGCCTTAAACATTTACAACCTGGCCCTTTATGAAAAAGTTTGCCAACGCCAGTCCTGGAATTACTATACACTCATCAGTCAACACATTAACCCCTCAATGTTCTCTTGATAAAGTGAGGGAAAGACACTTGTTAATTCTTTCAACTCCCCTTTGCCTAGGACAATTTAAAAGAAAGAAGCATTATATAATAAACCACACAGGGACATAGTTACAGACGCTTCATAGATAGAATCAAATACCTCGAGGGATTAGTTTTCTGGGTTTGAAGGCTTAGCATCACAGTCTCGTGGGACAACTCAGTTAAGTGGCATAATACAATTCATAAAGTGTATGTTCTACATCCCAATATGGTGAGTAGTGTCTGGCATCTTAAAAGCTTGCGAACAGCCATCTAAGCCACATCTATTGATCTTATTGGTCTCTACTTGTTCAGAACAAAAGAGAAAGAAGGAAACCAAAGACTCAGAGAAGAAAGTAGTCTACAAGATTAATAGCATATATGAACCACAAACTCATCTATCCTGAGACCAGAAGAACTAGATGGTGCCCAGCTACCACTATTGACCGTTCTGAGCAGGGCCACAATAGATGGATCCTGACAGAACGGGAGAAAAATGTGGAACAGAACACAAATTCTTAAAAAGTCCAGACTTACTAGACCAGTTGAGACTAGAGGAGTATCCCGAGATACTCTTTAAACCTTAAACCAAAATTGTCCCTTGACGTCAGCTTTTAGCTAAATAACAGATTGGCCCATAAGATAAAGAATATCACTTGTGACTAAAAAGCCCCTTTAGAAAGTCATCAATACAAGACCAAATGGTCAAAAATTACACTAAGCAAAGATGAGAAGGTAAGGGGGCAGGGAAACCAGAGTACTGGAAATGGTGCCACCAGAACGGAATAAATGAGAATAATGACACTTTGTGAAAAATATACCCAATGTTGCTGAATAATTTGTGTAGGAATTGTTAAATGGGAACCTAATTTGCTATGTGAACTTTCACCTTAAACACAGTAAAATACTATTTTTAAAAAAAAGAAAGAAAGAAAGAACGAAAGGAGCATGAATCTGGAAGCATCTCGGTAGTGTCCATGGCGGGGTTTTTAAAGACTCTTCTCTGATGTCTCAGGGGTCTGGGCTGGGCTTGGAGGAGTGGATGAGGTGCCTGGCATGTAGTACTAAGAGCAACAGTTGGTCCTCCTTTTGAATCTGGGACAGAGCAAAAAGTCTCACGTGTGGTTGTGAAATCCAAAAAGGTTAAAGAGAGCAGGGTGCTATAAAATGTGATGCCCAATATACCAAAGAATTGAAGACAGGTATTCAAACAAATCCTTGTACACTAATATTCATAGCATCATTTCCATAACCAAAAGGTGGAAACAATCCAAGTGTCCATCACCTGTTGAAAGGGATAAACAAAATGTAGTATAGCCATGCAATGGAATAGTACTCAGCCATAAAACGGAGTGAAGTACTGGCTCATGCTACAAGATGGATGAGCCTATAAAACATCATGCTAAGTGAAAGAAGTCAGGCGCTAAAAGTCACAGACTGTGTGGTTCCATTTATATGAAACATCCAGAACAGACAAATCCAGAGAGACAGAAAGCTGATTGGTGGTTGCCTGGGACTGATGGGGATAGGGGAATAAGGAGTGACTGCTTAATGGCTGTGAGGTTTCCTTTTGGGGTGATGAAATGTTTTGGAACTAGATAGAGGTGGTGGTTGCATAATATTGCGAATGTACTAAGTGCTACTGAATTATATGCTTTAACATGGTTAATTTTGTTATATGAATTTTACCTTATTAAAAAAAAAATGTAATGCCAAGAATCTTAAACCACAAAAAGGCAAAGTGTGGAAGCTCAGAGAAGGGTGGGAGGCAGGTGAGACCTGCAGGTGGCCCGCAGTGGCTCTGCATGGTCCTACAGACAACAGCAAGAGACTGTCCCAAAGACACAAAAATTGAGCCTGGGAGCCAACTTGCTCCAGGTAAAAGAGAATAGGAAATAAAAATTCTGCACAACCGGGAGTTTGGGCCATGTTTTATAGGAAAAAGAAAGGCAGATGATCTCATTCCACAAGCACCATTTTGAAGGTAGATGCTATTGTTTTGTTATTTTTTTTTTACTTTTAGCAGAATCAGACTGGTGTGCACTTTATATTTCCACATGGATGCCTATGCTCCTGGCACCAGAAACCACTTCTAAATGGAACATCCACTGAACAGAATACTCCTGGCTTCCCGGAGTTTCAACCCTTTTGATAGAGAGTTGAGTGCACCCATAACTGAGATGCAGGCAAAAGAGTTGGAGGGAGCTGCCAGACAGATACACACCATTGAGTCTGCTCCAGCTTGTCCCGTGGAGAAAAGGACAGATGTGACAAAGGAAAATAGAGTCTGATGCCAGAAAATAAGCAAACCAACCAAACCAAAGAGGGAGGACGTCTTTTTCTTCCCAATTCGCCAGCCATGGCTGGCCAGGAAGTATGTCCAGATAGGCAGCTGGTTCATTCCAGATGGGCAATTGGTTGGGTTCAGTAAGGCCTCATGGCCTGTGCACTTGACCCCAGTGCAGAGCCATTCAGGGCATGCTTGGAGAGCAAGCCTCTGCGTCCAGTAGTGAAAAAAGCAGTGCAATTTGCTCTGAAAGGTGTGATTGGTATCAGAAACCTGCAACTTCTCATTCCTTCTTGGGCGTGTGTTCATTGGACAGTCATCAGATCCGGGTGCGCCATAGTGCTTTTACTTTCTCAGCATTTTTATAGCCATCATACTCCATGAGGTAAGGAAAGTCGCAGAGCTAGGACTAGCAACTCAGCCGAGATAAATAATATTTGAGGGTAATGTTCTTAAAAATCAAACTTAATGCAAAATATCCA